ATGCACCCTCTCCACCCCACTCATGCTTTTATAGACCTCTATCATATCCCCCCTCAGTCTCCTCTTTTCTAAGCTGAAAAGTCCCAGTCTCTTTAGCCTCTCTTCATATGGGACCTGTTCCAAACCCCTGATCATTTTAGTTGCTCTCCCCTCTCCCAGCCTCTCTCTTCCCGTCTCCCACCTCCTTTTTCCAGTCTCCCCGAGTTTTGTTCAATAAAGAGAGTTTCTATTTTTGAACACACGTGTCCTTTATTTTGTACATCTGGAAGGGGGGCTTTATTTTGTACATCCGGAGAGGGGTAAGTGGAAGGAGGTGAGGGAGGAATGGGGTACGAGCCCCCGATGGGGAGGACTGGGCTGGCCTGCAGCCCCCCGATTGACCTGCCCCCCCCAGATGGCAGCCTGTGGCAAGTCCAGCCGGTCTGATGGCCGAGTGCTGTGATGTGCCGAGTGTGGGCACTCAGGGCACTCCAAGCCAGGACTGCTTTGCAGGCGGGGAACTCCTGAGAACTGTCTTTCTAGGGTGGGGATCGGGTCCCTTTAAGCACAGCCCTCGGCTAGCCTGAGACAGCATCTCCACGCTCTAAGTCCTAATCTGATGCCCTGTCGGCACTGCTTCCAGCCATCCTTAACCTTGGTTCAGGGTCCAGTCAGTGTGGACATGCTAGTTTGAATTAGCAAAATGCTAATTCGAACTAGTTTTTAGGTCTAGATGCACTAATTCGAATTATCTTAGTTCGAATTAACTAATTCGAATTAAGTTAGTTCGAATTAGCGCTGTAGTGTTGACATACCCTCAGAGACTAACAAAATAGTATCTATAGTATCATGAGCTTTTGTAGGAACAATCCACTTCTGTGGATAAGTGGAGCAAAAGGCACAGAAACTCCAAAATTTAAAGCAGAAAAGAGGGGGGAGGGGAGGAAGAGAGAGAGAAAAACCCTGTCAATGGTAGTGCCTGTGCTAAATGAAACTAATGGAGTGGGCTGTAAGTGTCTGATACTTAGCTTTTGATGTCATTTGTTTATTGAATATAATGGTCAATTCAGTTCATGTCTTTGCTCAGTCCCTGGGTAATGGTTTCAAATTTGCATAACAAGGTCATTTCTGTAGTCTCTCTGTAGTTGGCTCCTGAAATTACTTTGTAAAAGAATGGGTACTTTTAAATCCATTAATGAGTGCCCAGGCAGGTTTAAATGTTGCCCCACAAGTTTCTGCATGATACTATATAGAATATCTGATTTGTGTCCATTAACCCTTTATCATAGAGACTGTACAGTATGGCCAATGTACATGGCCTAGGGGCATTGCTGGCACTTGATGGCATAGATCACATTAGAGAATGCAGTTGTATGTTCTGATGTGGTGACTTATGTGCTAGGTCCTGTGATGGTGTTGCTTCTATAGATGTGTGGCCAGAATTGGCAATGGAAGTAAATGTAAGTAAAGTTACTTACATGTGTGAGCATAACAGACTGGACCCTCATTAGCCAAACTCAGTTATTCACAGTGAGTTTCCCAGTTGTGTGTGAGAATTAGATAAGTTCTGCTGTACTCTGTAATGGAAAAGCTTCTAGAGTGAGCCTTTCATAGAAGTTAAGGATTAAAGTCATTCCATCTGATATCTTCTCCCCAAAGGAATGAATAATAGCATAAGAGAGATATGACAGCTCAATTTAATAAACTCTGTAGGTGGTAGGCAGAAATACTGAAAAACTATAGGCAAGAACAGTCTGTTTTTAAGTTAAATTATTAATATAATTGCAAAAATCAAGCTACAGTAATTTTAGACTTTCACAAACATACAAATATTAAGATTTGGTAACACCACTTTTCTAACTAGTGTATTTTTTCAGTGTTTCAATGGTAAAAGGATCCAATATGCAGGCCTATGTAAAATCTTTGAAACCCTATAGGAAACCAGGGAAAACCACTTGTCATGCCTGATATTTCCAAAGTAAAAATCAAGTGGGGGATAGGAGGGATATCCCTTCCAGGTTTCTGAAAGAACAGCTGGTCACTTTTAAATGAAATTTGGCATTTGGAGAACTACAGGCAATCTGTGTGCTTTATCATACTGTATTTATACAATAGCAAGATACAATAATATATGTTGTATGAAGTATTAATTAATAATCGTGGTTCCTGACCAGTCTTTTATCTTTATGATCTCTTTTAATTTACTTGAAAACATGACCATAAAATGGTGAGCTACAACTACAATTTCTTACGGGGGCTCAGGAGAGCACAAGGATCATCCCCTTGTTATGCCCCAAAAAGGTTAGTGGAGACTTGATGATGGCTCCCTTTCCACCCCACTGCAGTTGCCTGTGTGGGAGTGTGTATGGCTATGTCTACACTGCAGAGAAAAGTCAGAAAAAGATACGCAAATTGGAAACTGAAATTTGCGTATCTTTTAAAAAAAATTTTTTGGGAAAGAGGCTTTTCTGAAATTTGGCCCATCTACACGGGGGCCAAATTTAGGAAAAAAAATCCTCTTTCAGAACATCCCTTATTCCTCTCACCGAGAGGAATACAGGGATGCCGAAAGAACACGTCCACTTTTTCAGAAACTGTTCTGAAAAGCAGATGCATACCTTGGATGCGGCAGAGCTGTGGTATCCCAGAAAAGCTCTGCAGTCTAGACATGGCGTATGTGACAGCTTCCATGTTCACCAGTGAGCTCACAAAATGATTGCAGCTTAACAGATATGAGATAGACAGATCTAAATCCCTTGATGTAGTCACATTGGGCCTCACCTATAGCTCATACTGGGTATGGGTTACTCACATGACTTGTCCCACTAAAGTCATTAAGTTACTAGAAGAGTTTCCTATTTGGAAAGGTATTTGATTTGCTGTAGTTGGCATTCATAGAGTCATGGCCAGAAGGGACCAGTGTGACCATGTAGTCTGAGCTCCTGTATAACACAAACTATCAGACTTCCCCAAAAAAATTCCTAGCACAGTTCTTTTAGAAAAACATCCACTCTTGATTGAAAAATTGCCCGTGATGGAGAATACACCACAACTCTTAGCACTTGTTCCAATGGCTCCTTATTCTCACTGTTAAAAATTAATACCTTCTTTCCCAGCTGAATTTATCTAGCTTCAGCTTTCAAAATCAATTATCTAGATCTGTATATTTGGCTGCATTACTTAAATCAGTTTTACATTTCTTTTGGAATAATGAATGTGCTGAGTTTTTTTACCAAATAGCTCATATGTGCCGATTTATCATGTGGCACATAGTATGCAAGTTTTTTGTTTAACTGGATCTATTGCCTGAAACCTAACTATCATTGTAACTTTATTATTAAAACATATAATTCAGTTTCTCTGTGTTACAAATTTTTGATCACCAACATTTAGTTCATGTTCCCAGAAATTAGGTGTAGGGTCTCTTGCGTATTGGATCTTGAGCAATGTAAAGAGCAATGCATCCTTCTGCTCTCTTCCAGTGGTACCTTCAAAAATACACAGAGAGATCATATAATGTAAATAGTAACATAGATGTAGTACAGGCTGAAATAATGGGGCATAGTTCTAAACACTTTTATCCTGGTTTTGTGTTGGTATAATTCCTTCAACTGCATAGTTATTCTTCACAAACACTGATACAAGAGAGGTCAGAAGCAAGTGTTGGAAGCAAGACAAATTAAGCCAGCTGAAATATTCAAGTAGGTAAATATTCATATGTTATAGATGTCCTGAAATCAAAGGACTACGTTCTGCTTTGTTAGGGATAGTGGCAAAATAACTCCACTGAGCACTGAATTTAGTTCAAAAAGTCCAGATCTAAACCATGATTTCATATACCTAAAAGTTCTGAAATGTTTGTATCTGGAATCATGGCTTAGGGCCATCTCTCAGAGGGTACGTCTACACTGCATGGCCATTTTGGGATACCAGAGGTATCCTGAAGTAGCTACCCCATGTCTATACAAACTGTCCAGTATTTAAAAATATTTTTCGAAATAATGGGCATGCTATTTTGGCATCCCGGTGACCCTATTCCATGAGGGTTAAGGGATGTCTCGAAATAGCATGTTATTTTGAAATTTGGCACTGTGTAAATGTGCCAAATTTCAAAAGAAGCTATTTTGAAATAGATTCAAAATAAGCTTTCGAAAAAAGTACCCTTTTTTCGAAAGAACTTCCCCTGCATCCTAACTTATGCTATTTAATGTCTATTACAGTGTTGATCAGAGGCCACAGCCAGGATCATGGCTCCATTGTGTTAAATGCAGACCGTATACATAGTAAGAGAACCCCTGCCCCAAAGAGATTACAATTAAAGGTCTCAATCCAATGTGATCTGCTTGGGTTGATCTTTTTGACCAAGCTTACTTCAACTGACTGCAGATGGATTCTAAATACACCTAGTCTCATTGACCAGGTTGCAAGATTAGGGGCTAATTTAACACGTAGGTTCAAAACCCATGGGGTATGTCTACACTACCCTCCTAGTTCGAACTAGGAGGGTAGTGTAGACATACCCCATGGGTTTTGAACCTACGTGTTAAATTAGCCCCTAATCTTGCAACCTGGTCAATGAGACTAGGTGTATTTAGAATCCATCTGCAGTCAGTTGAAGTAAGCTTGGTCAAAAAGATCAACCCAAGCAGATCACATTGGATTGAGACCTTTAATTGTAATCTCTTTGGGGCAGGGGTTCTCTTACTATGTATACGGTCTGCATTTAACACAATGGAGCCATGATCCTGGCTGTGGCCTCTGATCAACACTGTAATAGACATTAAATAGCATAAAGAAGGAGGAAGTGGATGAATGTAAGAATCATACATTTACGGAGAAAAATTTGGAGACAGCACTGTATTGTTAGGACAAAATTAAAATCTGTCTATTTTGACTAACAAAACGAGGCCCACAAAATACATGGAAATCAGCATGTTGTAGGGTCAAAGAGGAAGGATCTCAAAGCTGGAACTATCCTAAGTTTGTAAAGAGATGAAATAGAAGATCTAATAACATTCTATACCTCGAATTTCTGTAAGTCTAAGAAATTATAACTAATTATAATTATCATTAAAAAACCCTATGCCTACATGGCACTAAAACATTTCTCAGATTACAATATAAAGATAATTGAATAAGATCATACACTACTGGGAAAATATTTAATCAAATAGATGGCATATGCCAAAATATATTCTATATAGTACTTGTTATAAAAATTGAAGGGGTTATGGGGCCCTCTTGTACAGTATTTAGTGAAATATTTAGATTTAACATGTTATAGTGCTTCGAGTGGAAGTGGCCAGCATGTTATAGAATTTTGGCTTAATTAATAACATTGAACATGATTTTCTGCTGTTACCTATCACAATTATTCTATATTAAATTCTATTTAAAACTTATTAAAAACATCATTAAGATCACTAGATAAATGGCCTGACTTTATACTTCTGTTCACAATTAGATGGTTTCAAGTATCCAGACAACGTTTTTTAGTGTTATAGGATGTCAAAATAGGAGATCCAAATATTTTTCTGGGGCTGGTATCCCTCCATAGGAAAGAAAAAAGTCATAACTGTCATATTCTGATAGCCCACTGCTTGGTCCTAACACTTTGCACTAATTGTTTATTTGGTTGCAGATAGGTGCTTTCTCTGCTAGGGTAATTGTGTCACTTTCCAAAGGAATTAGCTGGAAAATGACATTCTTCTAATGAAAACATTTTCCATTCTCTGCTGGAAAACTTCTCACCAACTCTCCTTTGAACATCTTGACTGTCAACAGCCTATTTAGGAATGACCATACTAAGATCCCATTTCCTCACCAGGATAATGCACACAGGAGAAAGCTGTATTCCTGAACTGACATCTAGTTAGGAGGTTTTAATATGCACAGTGAGATCTGGTATCATGCTCAGGAAGTCACCTTTGAAGGGACAGAGGCTCAGACTCTCCCCCTCCACGTTACCTGTACTCAGGCCAGGTTTTTTGTATCCTGTTTTTGTCAATCTGTTTAGTGAGAGATTTATTTTCTTGGTCTAACTCAGTACTCAAGAGGGGATCTAGGCTGGTCTATCAGCACCACCACATTTCTTCCTCAACACCCCTTTGTTCGAGTAACGTTGCCTATGCAGATACTGTGTTCACTGGGGCTAAACTCAGATGTGCCTGTTGACACACTCCCTGGTATGTAGTGAATGAGTCTATTTGCTAGAAGTTCTGTGTAGCTGCCTTGTGCAGAAAGGCATGTCTATTGGTCTCCTATATATCCCAGTATGGAAATAGGGATTCTGTTGCCCAAACTAGGCATTGTTCTGCACTCACTTAGACAAAGCAGGGATGAGCAGGCTGTCACCAGCAGCGAGACCCAGTGCTTTACCACCCATAGTGACAACGGATGTGCCTTCCTGAAAGACAAGAACAAGTAAGTTGGCTTTTAATTCTTCATGTGTTGTCATTGGCAGAAAGAAAAAAGAACCACTTAGTAAGAAGTAAATCATGAAAGGAAAATGTAACATTTCCATAGAAATATAGCTTGAAAACTGTTCAGATCTAGGTGGCCTTTGTTAAAACTGTAGCTGATCTTCCCTGCCTGACAGTTAGCAGCAATTTAAAACATGACTTCAAACGTCATAGTCCCTCAGGTTCCCCATAGCTGACTCATTGCAGTTAATCTAACAGCCTCCTGATCATCGATATGCCTTTCTGAAAATCACAGGACTAGATTCCTGGAGTATTTTTCAAGCTTCTTTATTTTTAGTTTCTTTAAATCCCTTTTGAGATTTGAAAAGCAGTTCACAAGTCAATGGTGACCTGACAAAAATTACAGATAGGAGTCCATTTATACTGAAATGGACTCATCACTATTCTAAGTCTCAGCTATGTTACTGTCCTGTCTGACTTAGAGATGCCCCATTCATGTGAGCACATTCAGGGTCTTGCTGACTGTGCTCTTCTACTGGCTACAGTACAAACAAGTTCCCTTTGAAGTTTCTTTTGTTTAAAATTAGCATTTGATAGTCATTCCCTGTGAATTTAAACTAAATAGGAATCAGTGACTTTCTGGCAGCAGGCCTGACTTGTAAAATGGACACTTTCCCGTCTGCTTTCTTTTCTGCTGGGATGCAAATCTTCTCTTCTTTGTTTTTGGGATCCATTAGATTAGTGCCTGCCCCAGCAGCTCTGCTCTGAATTAAA